TAAATATATATATATATATATATATATATATATATATAGGGTTAGGGTTATATATTATATTTTTTGACATGCTTATTCAATATTTACATGGTCAATGTACAATGTGCTTTCCAGAAATACAATAATTTAACAGCAAGTCTTTAAAATATTGTGTGACATGAATTTTGCTTCAAATAAACTACAGAAACAACTCCAAAGATGATAAATACACATGCATAAGCAAGCATAAGCAAACCCAAAATAAATAAAAATATTTAATTATTTAAAGAAAAGAAAACAATATTTTTTATAGATTTTTACATTTTATTTTATTGATAGTGCATATTTAAAATATTGTTAAAATGCACCATAGACGATTTTTATGCTATTACACTGGAAAAATTTCACCCAGAAATTAGGCTACTAGTAATCACAATTATTTACAAAGAAACAGCAAATTAATTAAAAAATGACATTTTGAAATTTTGATTGATGAAATAATATTTTCTTGTAAAACTCCAGTAATCTTTGTTTTACAACCTTGATTGATTGATTGATTTACACATAAGCACATAAGCAGTCTGAGATATTAATATTTGGGTAACCTGTGCATAAGACATATCGGATTACACAATAAAGTACACAATAAAGATAAACAACAGTTGCAAAGTATATATTTAATTTCAAAAGATCTGTAAGTGCAAACCACTTTAATTCAGCAAAGATCAAATTACATTAAATTAAAAAAAAATTAATGTTCAGTTTATAGAGTTCTTGAGTTATGGACTCAATTAATTAATCAAAAACTTTTTTTAAACAAGCAATATCCCATTAAACATTAGTATATTGTATAGAGTTGAATTATATTGATGTGTGATCGCAAAGTTTGTTAGGTTTTGTCATATAGAAAATAACATTGAGATCTTTATTTGCATTTTTTGACTATCATGTATTTTTCATTTACCCCAGATGGCATTTTTATTTTATTTCCCTTTGTGCTGAATCGTCTCCATGTCCACTAGTGTCCACAGGGTGGGTGTCTTCTCCGCGCCCTGATCTCGCTCCGAACTCTCGCGAGAGAAAATGAAATTCCAGCAGCAAATCTGCGAGTCGCGACCTCCCTCCATTACACTGTTGCCAGGTCCGCGGTTTTCCCGCGAAATTGCGCTACTTTAACACTGTTGCCGCGGGTTGTTTTTCATATCCGCGGTTTGGAATGCGAATTTTACCAGTCGGACGTGTATTTTACCCCCCGGAACGCGACTGGGATACTTTTGAGCAGCAACTGGGCGGGTTTTGTTGTGAAATCTGGCAACCCTCTCGCGACCTCCTCCATTGGGAAAGCTGGAGCGCGTCTGAGGGGAGAGAAAACAGACCCTCGTTAGCCTGGAAAACCTTCGAAACGTTGGTTTATCCCAGCTCGCGGAGCCGTAACGTCTGAGCCAAGACATATACGGTACCGGTGGAGGATAACATGCCAGGTTCGCCGAACTTTGGGATTTTTAAAGCTCCGCTAAACGAGCCGGCGGAGAAGCTTCATTAGCGAGCTAACGTTAACAGACGCTAGCGGTGAAAACTTCCAGCCTGAGAGAGAATTTGCCTTTGGGATTGAAAACCAGGATACCTCAGCAGGATACCTCATACCCCCCCCCACAATTCCAGCATTGATTCGCGCAGAAATGAGATTAGAGAGTCCAGCCGCCAAAACACCGAGCGGGCCTGTTAACTAGAGATCTTCTTACATAAACTACTCGCATTCTGCTGTGGTTTGGCGAAGGAGACCGCAGGATCATGTGGAGAATCGGGTGAGAGAGCTGTGTGTCGATGCAGTAATACAGGAGGAACGCTACGATGTCTGCTGCGAAGGAAAACACGTGTAGGAAATTTCAGGCGAACATTTTCAACAAAAGCAAATGTCAGAACTGCTTCAAGCCCCGAGAGCTGCATCTGCTGACGGACCAGGATCTCAATCAGGTATGAACGGCTCGTTTCGAATTCGTTCTTGTGAACGCTTTTAGCTCACAGTTGATTTCCATTAGCTGACAGCGCTTTATTGATCAGTTTGCGGTGACCACTTATCAGCCTTTAGGCTCATTTTGTGTAGAATTGGTTTGTCCTGTTAACTTTGTACTGGTTTCAGCCACGATTAGGCTTTTTACAGTGTTTTAAGTGGCCGCATGCAGGTGCGTTTAAAAAAAAAATGTTTCCACGATTCTGCACGGATGCTTGTGACTGATCTGTTGTGTTTACTGTATTTGTGTTTTCAGTTGGAACGCTGTATTGACCAATCAGAAGCCAGCAGAGGTCCGCTTCTGAATTGTGATTGGTCCAAACCGCGTTCCAGCCAGTCTTCCTTTTATGTGCATCTTTTATGTGTATAGGTTTTATGAAATGTGTTCCGATTATTTATATAAAATCAGTCTGGATTTTATGGATCGAAGTTGAATCCGTTGAAATGAACTTGTTTCGATTTTGTGTTGGTAGCATAACGCTTTTTCAACATATTTTCCTACAGAGCTTGTTAAAATTTCAGAATTGATTTAGAAGTATTTTGTCCACATTAAAGGTCAGTCACGTTCCAGCTAACTATATTTACGATACGGCTAACCATTTAACATGTAAGAAGGCGTTATTTTCTGCTAGAGGAAACTTTTAATTAAGATGAAGGTTGTCATAACCAGAGCATTTCTAAACCTCCTCAGGATTACAGGTACTTTATAGCTTTGCTGCTGGAGATTGGGAAATAACCGGCCGTGTCCGTGTGATGTGAGCCCTTGTTGGAGTCCATTTCTTACTAATCCCAAGTATTTCCCCCCCCTCTAATGATCTTATTCCGTGAAAGAAAGCTTTGGTTGATTGCATGACAACACAAACTGTGACCGTATATCCACATGTGCTTTTGAAAGCAAATGAATGAGAGGAAAAGTTTCAGACCATAAGGGCCTGTTGTGTTTTTTGAATGCATCCCATACCCTTCAGAGCCGTCGGGCGACGTCAGCATGTGTGTTGTGGTTTGAGTGAGATTACCAGCAGTTAATCTGCTCTGTGCCAGATCATTGTGATGGATTACGTCACTCAACTAATCCCGCTAAAATGAGCCAGCGTTCATTACTAAATCAAACCCTTTTGGGCTCTGGTGTTGTGTAACAGTCGTCCTCAAAAGTTCAGTTTATTATTTCTTTATTTTTGTTTTGGCAACAGTATTACCGAATGTTCAGGTTAGACACTGGCTATACCCTTAGATCAAGTACGTTCTCCAGTTTGAATATAAAATGGAAATTAAAGGGATGGTTCACCCATTGCTGTGTTATTCCCTCCCTCTCATGTCGTTCCAAACCCGTAAGACTTTCGTTCAACTTCAAAACACAAATGAAGGTATTTTTAATGGAGCCTGAAAGATTTCTGTCCCGCTGTGGAAAGTCTACGCAGTCAATCTCATAAAGAGTCTGTAAACATAATCCATGAGAATCGAGCGTTTTAATCCAAGCCTCCCAAGAGACACAATCGCAGGTTTAATGTAGGCTTTTATAATGTATCTACATTGATTGATGCACATACATAGAGCTCATCAAATATGGACAAACATGCGTGCATGGTGTGCGAGAACCAATGAGTTTATGGGAGGTTATGACTGATCAAACTGTGACATCAGAAACTCCATTTGTCAGATGTGCCGTTTGCTCACAGATCAAATCTAATATTCCCACTTCATCTCTTCCTATTACCTGGCAAAGCCGAATATTCCAGTCCCAATTGTTTGCCTCCATTTTGCCAAAAGTGCCTTGAGCCTTTTGAAATGTTTGTCTCATTCAGTGGATTAGTAAATAACTGTCAGATGTAGTTTACCAAATTCAGAGATGGTGCCACTTGGGGCCAGGCCTCGACAATAACGAGTTCCCGATGGCCCGGGGCCGGTGTGAAAGATGCTCAGACAGTTGACAGAATTCTGTCACAAATGTTTATCCTTTTAATGTGTTTTTAAGCTATGCCAATTTAAATGTTCAAGCGATTTTAAAGCATTCAAGCGCAATAATACGTGAAAGAACTCAATTCAGCCTTTGCGTTAGTGTTGTAATCAAGACCACCTAAACCGAGACCAAGACATTTAGAGGTTGAGACTAGAGATGCACCGATCGACTGGCCAGGGACTGGAATTAGCTGATTTTCAGCATGATCGGCCGGTCAGTCTGTCCGTTCTTCCGTCACACCTACGCTCACATCCACATGTCGGCGGCGTGGAAGTTCTTCACTGTGAGTGAAGAAGACACAATGTTCACAATCTGTAATACGTGTAGGGCCAAAGTAAACCTTGGGGGAACCATAGGGCTCGATTAAGGCTTGTCTGGGACAAGTAGATTTTTAAAGGGGCAAGTGAGAGAGAATTTTACTTGTCTGACTGGACAAGAAGCCTGATTAAAACGTCAATAACCACCATAACTAGGAAAGCACTGAAACTTTTAAAGTTTTAAAATGTTCAAGCACAAGGCGACGTTGACGACGAACGCACTGAGAGCCGTGTCTCAGACAACGCGCAAATACTAAATTAAGTTCTCTTTCGCATCTTCTTGCGTTTAAACGGGCAACACACATAAAATTATGTAAAAATACCCGACTCGGCGAGTATCTTTGAAAACAGTTGGTTATGTCTTAAGTGAACGCAAACAGTCATATGAAAATGTTGGAGGGGCAAGTAAAAATTTTAACCACTGTCCCGACCAGACCAGCAGAAAAAATTCTTAGCGTTGAGTCCGGGAGTGCCTTTCAAACCTGGCTCGTTTGGAGTGTTTGTTTCTGAACATGGTGCATTTTCTCCCTTAGTTGCATTTGGTTTGCCGTATATGAACACGGCCATTACATTTGGATCTGCATCAAAACGGAACAAAAAAATCAGTCCGGGATCGCCTGAACTGCTCTGTTACGACACATTAAAGAGCCACAAAACTGAAAAGAATTGTTAGAATTTCTGAAGAAATGACAAAATTTGAAAGCTGAGACTTTGTTTCATTCCAAAAGTAACCTGCTCTGTCTTGTCTGTCTTCAAATTGTCAGTGTTTTTCACTGCGTGAGAACATGATGTGTGGCGTGAGAGCACCATGGCTTGTCGACCGTAGCAACAGTAACTAAGGGGGGGGCGGATCTTTGCGAAGGGTTTATTGAAAACCAACTCTGGAGTGGTTTGGCTTTGGTACGAAAGCAATCCGACTCAACGAAACCAAGCTTGATTGTCAATCCATCTTGATGGTTGACGCTATGAGGAACATAAACAGGTGCATTCTGACCAATGAGAAGACAGCTTTACTCACATGTGAAGACAGCATTACCTAACAAGATGGCGGTGCACTGTTGTTTACTTCACTGGTTTGCACTCTATCTGCCATGTGCCTTGTGCTGTTTATATATTTTTTAAATTTTTTTACATTTTACCTTATTTGTATATTTGTATAGTTGTATTTTTATATTTAATCTGTATCTATCTGTATTTATGTTCTACTGTTAGTGTTATCTGTATGCACCAAGGGTCTGAGAGTAACGCAATTTCAATTCTCTGTGTGTATGTGCTGTACATGTGGAAGAATGGACAATAAAGCAGACTTGACTTGACTTGACTTGATGTGACTTGCAGAAACACATTTTGACACGCTTTGAGATGTTGCTATGTGAAAGCGAACTGTACCAAGAAGGAAATGCAACATTGTAGCAGTTTAAGTTCCTGTTTCGTAACAAAGCAAACTATCTACAGGTCTGAAAATGGCCTTAAGTTTAATGGCTAGAAGGTTGACCATTGTGGATCTATGTAATATATACAAAAATATGTACACAATTGAGTTACCTTATCTGTTCCTCTATGTAATTCACAGAGGAAGCTGAATGGGTGTTTGAGTCAAATGGTTCCTTTGAGGAAATGTTGGCAGCACATAGTCATTTACTTACCCAGGGGGTAAAAGGCTTTCAAAATACTGTAATCTTCACAGACTCGTTCCTTAAAGTATGCTTTCAACTTCTCTCAAGGCCTTCCAGAGCAAGCTCTGCAGAATTGACTCTGTGCACACCAACTTTGTGTAATGGTGCTGAAAATTCAGCTTTGATCACAGCAATAAATTAAATTTTATAACATATTCACATAAAAAACTTGGATTTTATCAATAGTGCTCTGTCCTGTCATGTAACAGATATTGTAAGATTTAAAGTTGCAGATGCCATTGAGGCTAAATGAGAAAGCAGTCGTGCATAGAGCCCATTAATAGAGATCATATGGGATTTGACTTTTATTAGATCTATAGGACCAAGTGTTATTTCTTTTTATTTTTTTCCTGACTTTTGAAAGCAAGAACGTTGACATCTTCAGGAACTCAATGCATTGAAATGCTAGAACATAAATCCAGCTTCCTTCTGTATAACATCCAGCTTTACACTTGTTTTGTCTCTTATTTTGAGGTCCAGCCCGCATGTTAAAAATGGAAAGTTGCATCAAGCGGCTTGAAGCGCAACAGTGTGATTCTCATGCAGAAGGATGTCTGCTGTGAGCGGGAGCGGGGGCTTGTGAAAGGAAGTGTGTGTTGGGAAAGAGGTGCAGAGTTTCCTAAAGGTCGCTCCCGCTTCTGAAGCTGCGGTTGGGCCCGGGGTGGGCGTTGGGTTTGTTTAGCCGGGGGGGGGGTAGAAGTTTAGGGCGAGTGCGTCCAGGGGATGCAGGGATAAAGTGGACTGCTGGGAGCCGGCTGTCCTCAGGATTCAGCCTGGGAGGAAATTGGGAGTTAAACGTGATGCGGCCGGTGGGGCCGTGGGGTTAGACGTGAAGCTGGAGAGAGGAAGGAAAGCGCAGGGGTGTGCCACTGCTCACATGCTAGAGTCACAGCTGTGTTTTGTTTTGCTTCCAATCCCCCTCCTCTTCCAGAGAGGAAAACGGCTAAATTTGGTCCCCAGGTATCCTCTGTTGTTTTAAAGATGTATTTATGGGGAGGGCTGGGGGAAAAAAAATCAATGCATCACCATTCTCTCTTCAGCGATTCTTGTAAACAGTTTTGTTTTAAGGACAGGACAAGCATCTGATATGTCAGAACATCTGTGCATTCGTGTGAATGCAGTCTATTAGACCTGCCGCTGTCGTTGATGTCATCAGTAATAATCAAACAGCAGTAATGCACAGAAAAAGAGAAAAGTAACTCACTGCTCTTGGTCTAGATTAGAAGCTCTAAAGAGAAGCTTAAAGCACTCTCTGATACTGAAAGCACTTTTTGTTTGTTGCTTGTAATGCGTTTGTCCTCCTTCATTTGCTTGTATGTAGCGCTGGGTATCGATTCGATTCTCGATTTTTTTATTATATTCAGTGAATATAGTTTTAATACAAATGCTATTAATATTTCTAAAAAATGAACAGTAAACATCAGTTTACAAATGGTGAATTAATAAAAAGAAGTTAAGAACCACATGCCTGTATTTTAAACCTATTCTTTTTTTTTTTGTATAGGGTCCATTCAGTGAATATAGTTTTAATACAAATGCTTTTTTGAACAATAATAGGGCCCTATAAAATGTTCTTAATTTTTCTGGTAATCAGATGAAGGCATAAAACATTAATTTAATTTATCCTAATCAAATGAAAATTAAACCCTTTTATTTGTTGGCAAACAAAGTGCTGCACAACAGAGGTTTACTGTTAAAATTAAAAAGAAAACAGATGTGATTATTCCTTTAAAAATAAAGATTTATTAATATTTATTAGCAGTAATAGCATTGAGTCTTAAGACTGCTAAATAGTAATATATTCTGACAGTTTCTTAACGTTAAACTAAACTTTTATTTTGACAGGTTGCTGTGATGAACTTGCAGCTGCTGTGTATGTGATATGAGGGTAGTTTTCTCAAATTAAACGGTAAATGCTATTGAAGTGACTCTCAGAGCAGCTGGAGATGATATTCGTGTTCATATCATCATATGAGACGGCAGAAGCTGAAAACACCGCGAGCGTCATCCGCGCTTTAGTGTGTAGTAATGTGGATAGTAAACAAAACCATCTGCCATTCATTCATTGCGGAAATCATGGCGCCGTATGCGTGATATCAAATGCTTCCGCAGATTTATAGTATTACTATAGCATTTCACCTGAGCATTGCACACATTGTACCCACCCTTCAACTGGCTGAAACAAACACTTTTTACACGCAACGCATTTAAGGTGTTCTAGTAATTAGATGACTGAAGAAAATGACAATTATCAAGTTAAATTTGACAAAAACAAACCTTTTAACATGAAATTAAACTCAACATAACAGCTAAAAGGGGCCATTTTGCAGTACAGGTGAACATAAACATAACATTAGGTTGTTAAACACTTCATGACATCTTTATTCACTCCTCATAGTCTCCTGGTCCATGCACATCGCTTTGATCCAATATACATTTATCCACTTATTATAAAGTGTCTTTCTAGAAAGCAAAACATTTTCTTACAACCTTACGTGAATTGTTCTGATAGAATACATAATGAAATTTAATCGCAGTAGGGTAACAGGTGCACAGAGCTAACATTAGCATTGAGCTACATAAAGCCTATGATAGACGGGGCAACTTTTTGAGCAATTTTGCTGGGCAATGTTGCCGTCCACAGGCAACCAGGTGAGACACAGGGCCCACGACCGATCTAAAGTATCCAGATGGAAATTTTTTTATGAAAAAGTGTCCAGGCAACATTGCTCAAAAAAAAAGTTGCCCTGTGTATCATCACCTTAACCCTAAAAATGGCAAGACCATAAAGAGACATCAGACGCTTGTTATAACATGGTTGTAATTCCTGAACGCTTTGGAATACAGACGTAAGGTTGGTCTATTTTTAAAGAAAACACATAGCAGATTATTGCTGAAGTGAAAGCATTTCAAAAAAAGTATAAAAAAGTTATAGCTAGAAGTTTAAGTTTACAGTAAAGATAATGCAGTAGACTATTTTATTTTATTTTATTGTATATAAAATAAATACTTTATAAGATATGTTGCACTCCATATGTCTAACCAAGTTATGTTCCAAATTTGAAGTTGATATCACCAAAATTGTGGTTCCTGTGAGATTTTGTTTGGGCACTATACCAAAAATAACCACTGGGTGACACCCAAACTCTATTTAATTCTTTTGATGCAGGTTTCTGTCACAAATCAATAATTTTCTGTCACAATATAACTTCTATTACAAAACAGTCACCAAATATGGAACCTTGACTGTCAGACCTTTCCAACGATATGTGTTTTGTCAAGATTACAAAAAGATTTGATTTTCTAAAACACAAGCCACAAAATCACAGAGTATATATAGGCACTATATGTTTTTATATCTTGATTTATACCCCTAAAAGGGCGATGTATCCCCTGAGATACGTGACATGACGTGACATGTGACATATGGCCAAGTATGGTGACCCATACTCGGAATTAGTGCTCTGCATTTAACCCATCCAAAGTGCACACACACAGCA